CCCTCTCCGGGCCTGGGCTCGCGAAGGAAGAGCTCAGGAAGAAGCGCCCGTCCCCCTGGGAATCGGGCGACGGGATCTGTACAAGGCCGCTCCTCCTGCATTGGCCCATCCTGGGCCCAGGAGCGGTGTACACGCCTCCTTGGCCGAGCCAGGAGGACTGATACACTGATCCTGGGCCCAGTGTGGCCCGGGCCAGAGGCTGTGGATATGTGTATAGCTCTTCTTCTGCGGCATTCCCGCGCCAGCTCCCAGCTCTTCCCCATCGCGCTCTGCTCTCCTCCGCCTTCGCGCCAAAGTTCGCTTCTGGTGCACCCTACTGCGTCCGACTCTCTTGGACCACTCGGCACCCGCGGACTTACAAAGTGTACATAGATCTCGTCGCCCCAGGTCGGCGATTACGAAGGGTACGGTTACGCCCGGTTGTGGTTGGCGATCGGCAGCGTTGGGGCCTGGGGGGCACGACATAGTCCGCGTCCCGCCTCCTCGGTGCGCAGGAGAACTCTGTTGAGGTCCCCGCCCGCCCCCCAGGGCGCTCCCCAGGATGTTCCCCAGGGTGCCAGTGGCAAACCACACCCCTTGCAGACCACACCCTTTGGACTCGCCGACCAGGGATGGGGCCCAGGAGGCCTCTCTGGGAGACTCGTCGAGGGCCCCGCGGCGCCAAACGTCCGGGCAGCTCGCCGCCCGGGCCCCCAGCGCCGCAGTTCTTGCGGGGCGCGTGCCCCCCAAGGTCTGTGGACCCTCGCAGGGGGCCGGCTCTTCGTCGCACATGGCATCGCAAGCGGCACGAGATCGGCGATTGCAAAGGGTATGGTTACGACAGGGCGTGGTTTGCGATCGGCGCTGATGGGCCTGGGGAGCACGACGCTGTGCTTGTCGGGCCTGCTCGGAGCACGGCGGAAAACTCTACAGAGGTCCCCGCCCGCCCCCAAGGGTGCCCCGCAGGGTGCTGGCTGTAAGCCGCACCCTTGCAAATCACACCCTTCGGAGTCGCCGAATCGCATTGGAAGCTGCCGGAAAGCTCTCTGAACTGTCACAGGGCGTGTTCACACCTCGTGGCAAGCACCTGGACTAGGCCTCCCAGATTTGGTTGGAGTAGATGATGCAACGCCGAGGCGGCTCGATGTGGGGCCGGGTTTTCTCCACGCCGACGGCGCCGATGCATCGCCGGTGTCGCCGAGGTATCGCCGATGCATCGGTGGTGCATTGGTACTACCCCCTCGCCCCCGCAGGTTCTTCATCCCGAGTCGTTCTTTGACGTTTCTGGGGCGCTGCGAAGAAATCCGTCTGCTCTCACGACCTCGTGAGTCGTTTGTATGACAAGGACGAGTCTTTGATCCAGCTGGTGGTCTGATGTGGCCCAGCACGTGTTCTTGCCAGCCAGAAGCGGGGGGAGGTTCGAGGTTCTGGGTTCGACCAGTTTTGCTTTTTGATTTTTCGGTTTCTGGGGCCAGCTTTCGGTCCCAGGGATAGTCAAGAGACGAATCAGGGGTGAAAAACTGCGCCAGATGGACGCCAGGAGAGGTCCAGAGACCGATTTTGAACGGATCTGCCTTCATCCCCTTGTGACATGTTCTTTGCCTGACGCCAGACCCCTGGGCCGCCTCCAAGACGAGTCGTCCTTGCGGTGCGAGAGGGTCGTTCGTATGATGAGATGGGCTGATCTTGCGGCAGCTGTTCTTACGACAACGTGAGTCGCTTTTGCGATTCGTTGTGGGCCTGAGCGTAAGAGCAGTCTGGTGTTCAATCGCATGAGCGGCGCAGAAGTTTCGTTGAACGGCGTGAGGTCCACGTTGCCCAGTGACGCGCGCCAGTCGTTTTGAAGACCGCAGCGCTCCTGGCAAGGCCCCCCCAGATGCCGAGACCGGCCGCAAACGTTCCGTTTTGGCTTTCTCAATGCTCGGGCCCCGAGGTCTCGACCCCTTCCCCAGGGGTAGTCTTTCTCGGCGGGCGAGGGGGGGAAGTGAGAAGGAGAAGGCCTTCTCAGAAGGCGGCGGGGCTCCTCAGAGGCTTTCTGGCCTTCTGAGAGGTCTTCGGTGCCCTCGGGCAAGGCTCAGGAAGCTTCTCGGAAGGCCCGCCCCTTGGCGCTTCCCCCCCTCGCTCACCGCCGACTTTCGCCCTGGATCCATTCTTCGATGGCCCCGGCAGGGCTCATTTCGGCTCCTTCGATCCGATCCGATTCGATTCGATTTCGACGGCTTCCGATTCTAAGATGATTCGACTTGGGACTTCGATCTAGCTTCCGGTTCCTCAGTGGAGACCTACTAGCCTGCCGATTTCCGCCGAGTCGATTCTTCCCGATCTGGCTGCCGATTTCCGCCGATCCGACTCACTTCGATCGCCGATCCGACTTGTCGATTCGACTCTGGGCTCTCTTGCCGCGGGGCCCCATCCCGGGCTCCCGGGGCCGAGATCGAGGAGAAAAGCCGCCCGGTGGTGAAGCTCCTCGGGCGCGGGCGATCGCGCGACGGCGCGCCTCGGGCCGGTCGTGTTGCCCTTCGGGGTGAACCGGGGTGATCCGAGGCAGAACGACACAGCTCGGGCGGATGGTTCTTCTTCTCCGACTGCGGCTCCAGCACCCACTCCCATCTGTCCGACCCGGCTGCCATTTCCCGACCCCGGCTTCTGAGCGGCCAGCCTATTCCGGCGCCCCGGCGCCCTCCCGCCGCACCCTCGTAGGTGCCTCGACGCGGGCTCTTGTCTTGTCTTGTCTTGGTAGGGGGGGGGGTTGAACCCAAGTGGGGGGTGAAGAAAAGGGCTCGGAAGGTGGAGCCACCAGGGGCCCAGAAGAGGCCCTCAAGGGCCCTCTTCGGGCTCTTTTTTCACCTCCCACTCGGGGCATCCCCCGTTATCACCCGCCCGAATAGGTCTGCCCAGACATGCGACGCCCCGACTTTTTCAATGTGGGGTACTGCCCGGGAATCCCGACGCTTCTCCCCCCAGGGCCCGGCGAGGGACCCCGGAGGCCGAAAACGGCCAAAGACCTGCCGTCCTGATCTCCTCGCGACGCGAGCCTGCGCTGTCTGCCTTGCGCCTGAGATTCCAGAGGCGATGGCCTCCGCCACCAGGTCTTTATCCGGCCCGGACGCCTGTCCGCAGTGGTGGTTCGCTCGTTCGATCGTTCACGACGCGAGCCTGCCTGGGAGTGGACTTTGGGCAGCTCGAGGTAATCAGATCTTGGAGCAGCCAGCGCGAGTGGAGGGACTGCGCGAGTCGTTCGGCTGTCGGCGATGCTGGCGGAACCCTGGGGCCCATCCCATCCGGGAGGGGCGGGCGGTGCACCCTCGACCCGGGATCGTGCAGACCCCCCCCCGCGGCGAGCTCGCGGAACCTTCGGGCCCATCCCATCTGGGGGTGGCGGGCTGTGAACCTTCGACCTGGGATCGTATATACCCCCCCCCACCCCGCAGCGAGCTCGCGGAACCCTGGGGCCCACCCCATCTGGTGGGGACGGGCTGTGAACTCTTGACCCAGGATCGTATATATCTTCCCCACCCCGCAGCAGAGACTGGGCGCCGCCCGCCACCTCGACCCTGCCGCCCGCCTCGCCCCGCCCTTGCCCGACGGGCATCACCCTCCTCCGTCCTTGCCCCGCACGCGGTTCCACGGCGAAAGAAGACGGCGACGACGACGACGGCGGCGGCGACGACGACGACGACGACGATGACGACGACGACGAGAAGGACGACGGCGACGGCGACGGCGAGGCGTTCCGCGCCCCAGCCTCGCGAGGCGTGGGCGCGCTGGCCCCCAGCCTGCCGCCAGGGGCAGCCGCGCTGGCGGCGGGGCTGCCGAGCCCCGCGGGCAAGGGCGGCCTGAAGGGCGGCGGCAGGTCGGCGTTGCGAAAACTGGTAGCCGAAAAATGTCGTGGACCTCCTGACCCGGGTCAATGCAGGCCCGGGCCAGTCAGCATCCTGCGAGTTCCTGCAGGGTCCCGCAGGATCCTGCACCCAAGCCCGGGTCAGTGTAGACCAGGTCATGCAGATTCTTGCAAGATTCAGCGCTCTGGCTGAACCCCGTTTGCATCACCCCTTCTCTGGAGCACCGAAAAACCCAATGCGGTAGGTTCATGCGGCGTTGGCGCGCAGGCGACGCCGGCGAAGGCATTCAAGGCAGGACTCTCCGCACATGCCCGCGTTCACGCTTGAAAAAGCGACGCAGAGGCACCGAGGGACACACTATCGCCACAGGACCCGACTGAACTCAACCTCGAACGATAAGGACCGCGATCGATTCAAGGTTGAGCAGTCCACGCGGTGTCTAAACCTTCGCGCGCGCCGACGCCGCGCAAGCCCACCGTAGTCATACAGAACGTGTGATGTTCCCAACGCAGCCGACGACGCCCCCAAGACGGTCCCAAGACCGCCGAAAAGGCCCCCAACAGAGCCCCAAGACGGCTCCAGGGAACCCGAAAATTGCCCTTGACGAGCCTCAGATGGCCCACGAGAGCCCAAGGACAGGCCCAAGCTGGGCCCCAGAGCGGGAGCGGGAGGCCCCAAGGCGCTCCAAGACGGCCATGATGGCCCCAACGTGGCCCCAGATGGGCCCCACGCGGCCAATACGCAGCCCAAGAGCCCTCCAAGAGGCCCCAAGAGAGCACCGAGAGGCGTCCCGGCCCGAAGAGGGCCATATCCTTGATTTCCAGTTGTTTTTTCAAATGCTTTTCGCTTTCTCGCGTTCTCGAGCTTCCAACGCTCCAAGACGGCCGAAGGCGCCCCGAAGATCGCCCCAAGATCGCAGAAAAGGCCCCCCAAAGAGCCCCAAGACGGCCCCCGAGAGCATGACGACTGCCCAAGAGCAGCCCAAAACTGCTCAAGAGAATCCCAGAAGAGGCACAAGATGGGCCCCAGAGCGGGAGCGGGAGGCCCCAGGGCGCTGCAGGACGGCCGAGATGATTCCAACGTGGCCCAAGAGGAGCTCAAGACGGCAAACACAGCCTAAAAGGCCTCTAAGAGGGCCCAAGAGAGCTCCGAGAGACGTCCCGAGAGAGCCCAAAGAGGCCCACATCATTGATTTGCCTTGGTTTGTTCGATGTTTTACGCTTTCTCGCGTTCTCGAGCTTCCAATGCTCGAAGACGGCCGCAGACGCCTCCAAGACCACCCCGAGACCACCGAAGAGGCATCCAAAAGAGCCCCAAGACGGCCCCAGGGAACCCGAAAATAGTCCAGGAGGAGCCCCAGACGGCCCAAGAGAACCCCAGGACAGGCCCAAGCTGGGCCACAGCGGCAGCGGGAGGCCCTAGAGCGCTCCAAGACGGCCCAGATGGCCCGGGCCTCCCCCCTCCGTCCCTCCTTGCCTCCCGCCCCCTCCCCTGGCGTCCATTCCCTCCTCTCTCTTCCTCCCCTCATCCCTCAGCTTTCGTACTCCTCCCTCCTCTCCTGGGACGGCCCCGCCAGAGCGCCAGACAGGCCCCGCCAGAGCGAGCGGGACATCGCTATACCCTATGAGTCCATAAGTTGCTTTCCCCCTCCCACCCCTCGAGGGCGGCCCCGGCAGATCGAGAGCGTTCTGACTACGCGTTTCTTTGCGTCGAATGCATGGGCCCGAAAACGCTGGAAATCGTAGTTGTGACCGCACCGGGGCTTACAGCGGCACCCGTGCCTCATCTGCGACTAGAACCTAAGCGCGCGTGGTTCTAGGGTATATTTAGATCTTATTCTATATATCAAGAATCAATGTTTCGTTGCTTTTTATCTATTGCTGTTTCGGGGGAGCGTAAGAACCGGGTTTGCCAGGACTCGGGTTCGCCATCGTTTCTTGACGACCGCGCCTCGGATTTTGACGAGGAGGAGTTTCGTGGGATGTCTGCAGCGGGAGACCTCGTCAAAATGCAGGATCGGCCTCGTCATTTTTTTGACGAGCTCGTCGGGGATTTCCGAGTCCCCTGTACCCAGGTCTTACGTCCCCCTGACTGTTCTGAGCTCAAAGCGTCACCACTGCATATTGCCGACATTTGAGATCCTTGTGAAAGGTCGCCGCAAACAAAAACATCTCTTTGTAAAGGCTGCTACAAAAGAGTTCACTTGTGGTGGCCAGTGAAGATGAGGTTAATTGTGGCGCACTTGCACCATACACATTGCGGCAGGCACATGCTTCCCTCAGTGTTTCTTCATTTCCGTTTTGAGAAAACACCCCTGTTCATGTTTCCCAATGTTTTTCTTTTTATGTTCTGCTCTCTAGCATTCCTAGGCTCAAGGCGGCACCATGGTATATTCCCACACTTAAAACACTTTGTAAGGCCGCCACAATCAGGAATCCCTTGGTACATGCTGCTGGGAAGGGGTTCGACGGGTAGAGGCCACTGCATATGCCTCGCAATTAAAATCCGGTTGTGAGGTCGCCACACAAAATGATAAGTTTGTGAAAGGCTGTTACAATAAGGGTTTAATTTGTCAGAGACCAATGCAGGTCCCCACCATTTTGGAAGACCGCCACAAAATAAACCCTTCTTGTATAGGCTTCTGTACTATGATTGTAGGTGTGGCGCGTCTGCAATTTTGAATAATGGCAGTCGCGAGATTTCTCAAGCTTTTCCGAATCTTTCCTCGTGCAGGCATGCTTTTTCATGTTTTCCCATTGTTTATTGTTTTCCTCTCTAGCTTTCCAGGGCTCAAGGCGCCGTCACTGCAGACTTCGCACGCTTGAAGCCCTTCGTCAGGCCGCCACGAACAAATCCGTTTGTACAGGCTGCTACACAAGGGCTGTAATTGACGAGGCCACCGCAGACGCCCGACAATTGAAATCCTGTCGCCACAAACGGACTCCTTTGACAAAGCCTGCTACAGTGGATTCTATTTTTGGGGAAGATCATGACATCGAGGCCGAGGATGAGCAGGTGGAGGAGGATGAGGAGGAGGAGGAGGATGAGGAGGAGGCGTAGGAGGAGGAGGAGGAGGAGGAGGAGGAGGAGGAGGAGGAGAGGAGGAGGGAGGTGGAGGAGGAGGAGGAGGAGGAGGAGGAGGAGGAGGAGGAGGCGGAGAGGAGGAGGAGGAGGAGGATGAGGAGGAGGAGGAGAGGAGGAGGAGGAGGAGGATGAGGAGTGAGGAGGAGTGAGGAGGAGTGAGGAGGCGGAGGGAGGCGGAGGAGGAGGAGGAGGAGGAGGAGGAGGAGGAGGAGGAGGAGGATGAGGCGGAGGGGAGGGAGGGAGGGGGGGAGGGAGGCAGGGGAGGGAGGAGGAGGAGGAGGATGATGATGATGAGATGATGATGATGATGATGATGATGATGATGATGATGATGATGATGATGATGATGATGATGATGATGATGATTGATGTTGATGCTGATGCTGCTGCTGATGATGATGATGATGATGATGAGGAGGAGGAGGAGGAGGAGGAGGAGGAGGAAGACGAGGATGAGGATAAGGAGGAGGAAGAGGAGGAGGAGGAGGAGGAGGAGGAGGAGGAGGGAGGAGGAGGAGGAGGAAGCTCGAGGCCTCCCAAACTCTGGCTCTCCACGTCTCCCTGGCGTCCCCCTCGGGCGCACTCGCCGCCGCGCAGGGGCGCGGGCGGCAAGGCGGCGCTCCAGCCGGGGCAGGCCATCGAGGGCGCTGGCGGCACGCAGCTCGTGCTGGAGGGGACCCAGACAATGGAGGGCCAAGTCTACCTTCTTGTGATCTTTTTCTTCTTCATTGTTTTGCCGATCGGCGCGGGCCCTCGCACCCCCCCCTCCCCCCCCATGGAGTAGATCTTGGCTGTTTTTGGCGCCTGTTTCAAGCAGGTGGAGTCTCCCCCATAAGACGAATGAGAAAACGTTCACCTTCTAGTACAGGGGAAACGTAAGACTCGAGTGCGCCGGAACTCGGGTTCGCTGGCGCTTTTTGACGAGCGTGTCCTTGATTTTTTGACGGTCCAGTTGTCGTGGGATGTGTGCAGCGGAGGTCTCGGCGCGGGCCGCGTTACGGTCAGGAATTTTGGATTCGTGCCCGTCCCAAAGCGTCAGCGTCCCGAGCTTTCCTTTCTGGAGCCTCCCGCCCCGCGGGGCGGAGCGACACGCTATCCGCTTGAACGGCATAGCGCGTCGCCGGGGCCCCCGCCGCGGCATTCTAAGCACAAGTTCCCGACCGTAGCTTGGGTGGCGTTTGGACACGCGGTGTCCGCAGCGGTCTCCTTTTTTTTTTTTTTTTTTTTTTTTTTTTTTTTTTTTTTTTTTTTTTTTTTTTTTTTTTTTTTTTTTTTTTTTTTTTTTTTTTTTTTTTTTTTTAAAAAAATTTTCCCCCAACCAACCTGTGTTGTTGGGTCCTCGTTTTGAAGAGACGGTGCCCCGCGTCTCCTCTCCTCCTCTCCTCCTCCGCCTCCTCTCCCCCTATCATCCTCTCCTCCTCTCCTCTTCACCCACCCAGTACACCGTTTCGTGGCTCCATAGGGAGCTCCACCGAAGGCCCCAGTGCCCGCGCCCGCATGCGTCACCCACACCCATGTCGGCACACCCCTCACACGTTTCGTGGCTCCATAGGGAGCTCCACCGAAGGCCCCAGTGCCCGCGCCCGCATGCGTCACCCACACCCATTTCGGCACACCCCTCACACGTTTCGTGGCTCCATAGGGAGCTCCACCGAAGGCCCCAGTGCCCGCGCCCGCATGCGTCACCCACACCCATTTCGGCACACCCCTCACACGTTTCGTGGCTCCATAGGGAGCTCCACCGAAGGCCCCAGTGCCCGCGGCCGCATGCGTCACCCACACCCATTTCGGCACACCCCTCACACGTTTCGTGGCTCCATAGGGAGCTCCACCGAAGGCCCCAGTGCCCGCGCCCGCATGCGTCACCCACACCCATTTCGGCACACCCCTCACACGTTTCGTGGCTCCATAGGGAGCTCCACCGAAGGCCCCAGTGCCCGCGGCCGCATGCGTCACCCACACCCATTTCGGCACACCCCTCACACGTTTCGTGGCTCCATAGGGAGCTCCACCGAAGGCCCCAGTGCCCGCGCCCGCATGCGTCACCCACACCCATTTCGGCACACCCCTCACACTTTCGTGCTTAGGGACTCCAACCGAAGGCCCCGTGCCCGCGCCCGCATGCCATAGGGAGCTCACACGTTTCGTGGCTCCATAGGGAGCTCCCCGAAGGCCCCAGTGCCCGCGCCCGCATGCGTCACCCACACCCATTTCGGCACACCCCTCACACGTTTCGTGGCTCCATAGGGAGCTCCACCGAAGGCCCCAGTGCCCGCGCCCGCATGCGTCACCCACACCCATTTCGGCACACCCCTCACACGTTTCGTGGCTCCATAGGGAGCTCCACCGAAGGCCCCAGTGCCCGCGCCCGCATGCGTCACCCACACCCATTTCGGCACACCCCTCACACGTTTCGTGGCTCCATAGGGAACTCCACCGAAGGCCCCAGTGCCCGCGCCCGCATGCGTCACCCACACCAATTCGGCACACCCCTCACACGTTTCGTGGCCCCATAGGAGCTCCACCGAGGCCCCAGTGCCCGCCCGCATGCGTCACCACACCCATTCGGCACACCCCTCACACGTTTCGTGGCTCCATAGGGAGCTCCGCCGAAGGCCCCAGTGCCCGCGCCCGCATGCGTCACCACACCCATTTCGGCACACCCCTCACACGTTTCGTGGCTCCATAGGGAGCTCCACCGAAGGCCCCAGTGCCCGCGCCCGCATGCGTCACCCACACCCATTTCGGCACACCCCTCACACGTTTCGTGGCCCCATAGGGAGCTCCACCGAAGGCCCCAGTGGCGGCGCTCACATGCGCATGCGTCCCGCACACCCATTTCGGCACATCCCTGACAGGTTTCGTGGCCCCATCATCCACCGGAGGCCCCAGTGGCGGCGCTCACATGCGTCACCCACACCCACCCAATTCGGCACACCCCTCACACGTTTCGTGGCCCCATAGGGAGCTCCACCGAAGGCCCCAGCGGCCGCGCTCACATGCGTCCCCGCCACCCATCCCGGCACGCCCCTCACAACAACAGGTTTCGTGGCCCCATGGGGAGCTCCACCGAAGGCCCCAGTGCTGCCGCCCGCATGCGTCACCACCCGCACCCAATTCGGCACACCCCTCACACGTTTCGTAATCCTATGGGGAGTTCCATTGAAGATGAAACCCGCAGCTGCGGTACGGACAACTGCATATGGTTGGGTTCTTCGCCAGGCTATTTTTTTTGTTTTTCTCTCTCTCTCTCTCTCTCCTTCGTCGTCCGTTCCTCTTCGCCTTCCTCGCCTCCGTTCTCTTCCATGCTTTTTTGTTGCCGTGTGTCACCCCATGGGATGCTTCACGCTGCGCGGATCCATTTTGCGGCCCAGTGTCTGCTGGAGGAGACGGAGTTTAGGGCCGCAGTCCTGTCCTGTCCTGCCTTGTCCTTCCGAGCATCGTGGGGCAAGTATGTGGGTGCTTGGTTCCCTGCTGGCGCCAGGAGTGTATGGGCCACGCCTCTCAGAAGCAAAGGGAGATGCGCTGTGTGGATTCATGGCGTCTCCAGTGACCGATGTCTGCGGGCCTCACGTGGAAGAGTGGGGAGGCGCAGTGTATCCACCTGGGCGCGTCCGCAACTGGCTAGCCCCCGCACCTCCCATTTCTAGTCCTGCAGTCAGCCAGTGCCCAACGAACGCAGGTCCCGCGCACTGGCAGGCGCTGGTCTCGAAACTCCACGGCAGTTCCGTGAGCGAGCAGCAATATTTTGGTTGCCTCCCTGCTTTGGAAGACGAGAGGGCCGCGCACAGATAAACTTCCGGAGGCCTTCACAGATTTCTTGGATCGGCGCTGGACCCCCATTGATGGTGCGTGGAGCGCGCCAGGAAAGGCGCCCCCAGGGGTGTCCTGCGCCGATTCAAGAAGTCCGTGCGGACTTCGGGAAGTTTACTTGAATGCCGCTTTTTGTTCTTCTAACTGCTCCCTCAACCTTCAACTCCTCCTCCGTCTCCTCCCTCACCCTCGGGACAGTGACCAGAGGGGAGGACGCCTCTGGGACCTTCGTGGCCGTCGGAGGAGGCGGTGACAGAGGAGGAGGCGACAAGGGAGGCAAGGGCAAGGGCGCGGACGAGGACGCCATGACCGTGGTTGTGAAAGGCTCTCTCGCCGCCTCTCCCTCCCCCCGTCCCTTGAAGAAGACTAATCAGAGAAAAGCGAAGCACAATAACATACATAATCATATTACTACGGATGATACTAGTTTCTATAAGTAATGGTGATACTACTAATAATAGTACTAGCAAAGCTAGCAACGCTTGTACAACAACAACTACTACTATTACTACTACTACTACTACTACTACTACTGCTACTACTACTACCACTATTACTGGTACTACTACCACTATTATTAGGACTATTACTACTACTACTACTCCTACTGCTACTCCTTCTTATTCCACTACTACTACTACTACTACGACTATCACTACTACTACTACCACCACTACTACTACTACTACTACTACTACTGCTACTACTACTACTACTACTACTGCGACTACTATGACTACTACTACGACTACTACCACGACTACTACTACGACTACTACTACGACTACTACTACGACTACTACTACGACTACTACTACGACTACGACTACGACTACAACTTTTACTACTACTACTACTACTACTACTACGACTACTACTACTACTAGTACTACTACTACTAGTATTACTACTACTACTACTACTACTACTACCACGACTACTACTACGACTACTACTACGACTACTACTACGACTACTACTACGACTACTACTACGACCACTACTACGACTACTACTACGACTACGACTACGACTACAACTTTTACTACTACTACTACTACAACTACTACTACTACTACGACTACTACTACTACTACTAGTACTACTACTACTACTAGTATTACTACTACTACTACTACTACTAGTTTTAGTACTAGTAGTAGTACTACTACTACTACTACTACTTCTACTTCTATTATTATCACTATTACTATTACTACTACTACTACGACGACGACGACGACGACGACTACTACTACTATTACTACTACCACTACCACTACTACTACTACTACTACTACTACTACTACTACTACTACTACTACTACTACTACTACTATTACTGCGACTACTATGACTACTACTACGACTACTACCACGACTACTACTACGACTACTACTACGCTTACTACTACGACTACTACTACGACTACTACTACGACTACGACTACAACTTTTACTACTACTACTACTACTACAACTACTACTACTTCGACTACTACTACTACTAGTACTACTAGTACTAGTATTACTACTACTACTAGTTCTAGTACTAGGACTACTACTACTGCTAGTACTACTACTTCTACAACTATTATGATTACTATTACTATTACTACTACTACTACCACTACTATTACTACTACTGCTACTATTACTACTACTACTACTACTACTACTACGCTTACTACTACGACTACTACTACTACTACGACGACGACGACGACGACGACGACGACGACGACGACGACGACGACGACGACGACGACGACGACGACGACG